CTTATATAAGCATAAAAGCGTATGAATAACTGAAAAAGCTGGTCATCGCTGTAAATTCCTCACGTGTTCGCAGGCTAGATAACTCTAGTTCGGAACATACAAACAGGAATTCTGAGATGGTTCTAAGATGTTATTTCGTTTTTCCAATGTCTTTAGATTTGCAGATGCTGTACTAAAAGGCTAGCATTTGCTGTACTCGGCATGTCCTTATTGCCTTTATCACCAAGCTAACTGTTGTGTAACCAACAATGTTTCCAGTCTTAGAAAGGTGCTGATGAGCCGTAACAACCATAGATCTACTGAGTCTAACTACGATACTTGATTAGCAGTCGGTCACTATTAATTAAAATTGGAATTGGACTCATTGTAATTTGAATATTCTACCAGATAAAACTCTTCAATGCTCATCTTTGGAAAGAAATCTATATAACTTACTTGCCTGTATGAATACAGTTCAAGTTAACAAAGGCTGAGATAATGAAGCTATAGAAATTAGTGTATGGTATTCTAATTGAGAAAATGAAAGAGAAGATATTGCTTAAGTTATTTTAATAGAGGATGTACTTTCGAATATGACAGACGAGGTAAAATTTTAGAGAAATCTTTGTCAAGAAGACTATTGAAAAACAACTAAATCTGAAACAGAAACTTATTACGAAGACGAATTAGAAAGACTGATATTGACTCATATTCCAATACACTCATCAGAGTTCTATAGCCAATATAATAGGTACATGAAGCCATCTTACTAATCAAAATGAGCAAAAGGAAATCTTTGTAGAAAAAAGACTGTCCTTGAATCCCTTGGAAATTCATGTTATCTAAATAATACTACTTCAAATTCTCGTTTACTGTGTATTTTCATTGATTTCTGAGTCTGCATATTACTGTTTCTCATGTTTCACCTTCGTTTGTATTTGTTATTTCTTTCGTTCACGTATCTAGTAATGAAATGAGATGCACTCAATATATTTTTTTTGTGGCTGTTAATTATATTCATTTTTTTCTTTTGGTTGTTTCATTGTACTTGTTTTTATATTTGTAATTTATTTTGATGGACATGTAATAATCTTTTCGTTTAATGCAACTCCTATACAGGAAGGGAGTGTGATTAAACTTTGGACTTTCTGTCGAAACACATACATGCATCTCGTCAGCGTGTGTATTATGGAATTTCGAAAAATTGTAGTTGAGTCCTTGGAAAATATCAGCAATGTCGACGAGTTTCCACAATTGAATATCGGTGCAAGCATGATGAGAAGTTTATTAGTTGCAGATATTTGGCAATACTGCCTAATTTCTGGTAGAATTTCAAAATTTTTTGAAATCCTACCCCTATCTCAGCATTGTCGAAAATTCAGATGAGAGTATTCCAATTGTCGAAACATTGTTTAAACTCGACATGAAACACCAATAGGTCACAATTGACTTGTAAACGTCTTTTGAGAATGATATTACATTAATACTTAGCACCCGATTTTCATTTCCTTCATGCAACAATGGAATTTGTATTGTTTCAAGTACTTTAATTTAGTGTCTATGTAAGCTATTCTATCGATTGAATTTCTTGTATAAACGTTTTTATAATGTGAACGTTATGCATCGATTTGAGTTGTTTATTTTCATATGAATATAAAAACTTACTCTGACATGAATGACTTCGAGTAAGAACACAAAATAATACAAGTGAATCATTGTTATACATGCTGACTTATTGAGAAATGGATTCATTCATATTTTGGGTGCGGGAGTATCGTTTGGTTTGATTGTAACTCCTTTCTCTCTCCCCATCAATACAAAATTCTAGGTCTTCTATTTGGCTTTAGCATACAAAGTTTCCAAAGGAGTCTTCTATTAGAGAGAGAGGGGTTACAAACTCCATTGATATTGTAGTTGGTTGGTACTATTATCTTCTTCATTCTCTCCAGCCACATTGACACTGTTTTGTATTCGTTTGGTATTGGTATTAATGCTAACGAAACTTAGTGATGCTGAAAAAATATCACTGTATAGAAATTAGTAGTTATGCTAGAGTAAAGATCACACGCAAGTTCACCACATTCGAATTCATCGCTCTAACCTAATAACCGGTATCATCAACTAACAACTACTCCATCAATAAACGACGTTAACTTGGTATTCACCTTGATCAGCCGAAAATCATCGACAATGATATACGGGTATACCTGTAGATGTGATTTCTTGCTTTATTCGAACACAGACAATCGGCACCCTCCACATGCATACTTATCTCTCATTTGACTTAGCGATTCTTTATTTACTCACTGATAATCGGTGAACAGATCTTCTTAGAGGAATCATTGATAATGGATAGTAAAGGGGACGATCATTACATCGTGGATGAGGGTCACAGATATGATGAGGCATTTGACAAATGTCATCAGAAGTTGCACAAGAATCAAAGTGAAAACAATTCATCCAAAGAAAACTACAGATACCACTGTTGCCAGCAATAGATATTTGAAAACAGCTACAGTCAGTGTTAGTTGAGTATTGACCATACTGAGGCATCCTACGTACGACAAGTTCATGAAATCACGCGAACTATCGACGTGTTCAAATGAATTGCATATAAAATGAAATGAAAATGAACTTCGCAAAGCTGAGAAAGACAAAAGTTCACTTATGTGACAAGAATGAGTACAATATAACGCATTGGTGTTGCAATCATATCTTGTTTTAAAAGGAAATGAGCTAACCAATGTTTTTAACTCTGTTTGTAGTTCATAGGTGGTTTGTTAGGCCACATAATTGCAGGAAGACCGGGTGCCTGTGACAATGGCTTAGGAATAATAGTAACTCGATATATTTCTCATACTTTCGAAATATACTTAATCTATTTTAATGGAAAAAATTTATTTTCATCCACTCAAAACGAAAAAGAAGACTATGAATCAAATGATGCTGAGTACTGAATACAAAACACAATTGTTTCATTCAACTCTAAAAAGACTATCCTTACTCTCAATACTTTTATTGCTCATTTAAAACAATCGAAAAATTGAGTTAGAGTGATTTTAATAATAATATACGTTTGGAAATATTTGCATTTTGTGGTAATCACATATATTTTCGAAGAAAATAGTGAGTAAACGTTTGAATCTAAAATTATTGTAGCTCCCAATCCCCTTCTTCGACTCTGTTAGAGACATTAGCAACTGTAAATACAGATTTTCCACTATAAACATTTTTTATATTTGTAATTGTTCAGTTGTTACTATTACTTCAAGAGCATCTTTCTCATTTTTTCTGCTTCTGTACAATTAGTGCTACTCATACAGGATTATTTACTATCGCCAAACATACATAAAAAAATGATATATATATATATGTTTTGGTCTGTAGAAATCAGACAACAGTAGAAAATAAAATAGAAGACAACGTAAACAACGGATTAAGAACGAAAAATATTGATTGACAGTTCTTCGTAACCAGTGAAAAACAGCGATTACTCTAGTCATCGAATAAAGATGAAAGAAAAATATTGACAAAATTGTTTCTTGACATTTATCCGTTAGAATCTAAAAAGTTTAGAAAAAATATAAAACATAAGAAATCTTGAATATCACAAAGGACAGAAAAAAAGCAGAAAAACCGTCGAAACGCATAATTTTTCTGCCAAAAGCAGAAGAGGTAACAACGCCGGTAGCCAAGCAACATCGAATATATGCCGGACTATTCGAACATTGTGGTCCCTTTGCACCACGACAGCCACAATACTCTGCAAAATCCTCAAGACCTGTTATGCAATCAGGTGTACAGTAACCATAATGTGTGTCATTGTATTGACATCGCGGCCTTTCGCCAAAATTGAAATTATCATCACAATTCATCGCACGAAGAAATTTCAAATATTGTTTCACTGCATCGGCCAATAGAGTAATATCTCCATCTAATTTGTACCTTTCAAAATAAACAACACAGTCATGAAACTTGACATTAGAAGAAAAATAATTGATACATACCATAATAGCAAAAACCCATAAAACGTGCCGTCAGCGTATTGTACCAAAGTTGTTTCTAAGACGAAGAAAAAAAAACACAACTTATGTAGAAGTCCATCCTAACAACAACAACTATTGTCGGATTTTTTTTTCAAAATGTCAACCATCATTTTTTGAATGACTTTCAATGCTTCCTACCTATCGAAATCGAGTTTTCGACGTTAGGCTGAGCAATGCAGTGGACATCTATCTATGTAATATTTATTAAGTTCCAGGAAGTTTTTCAAAGATATTTGCAACTGAACATTTTTTCTGTTGCACATTTCTACAAGTTTTCGTAGCAATATATGCTCAAATTACACTAAAATACAGCCTAGCATAAGTCATCTTATCCATAAAATTTCCAGATTCCGGCTACATTTTGGCATAATATGAAAATAGGTTGTTACGAAAACTTGTAGAAAATTGCAACAGAAAAAATGTTCATTTTTCAAATATCCTTGGAAAACTTCTTGAAATTTAATAAATATTACATAGATAGATGTCCTCCGCATTGCTCTATCTAATGGCGAAAACCCGATTTCGATAACTAGAAAGCATCGAAAGTTATTAAAAAAATGATGGTTAACATTTTAAAAAAAACTCCAATAATAGTTCGTTTTTGATTAACACTTTCACTCGGGACAAATTGCTTCGCCTTGAATATTAAGTTTGTATTTGATAAATATCTTTTTTTTTCAAATTCTATCAACTTATGTCCAGCATTAATACAAGTATATAGAACAATAAAGAAGAATTTCATCGGGTATTTATATCAAGGAATTGAAGAATTACAACTATGGGATGTATCAGAAGTTAGTGATGTAAAAAAAAAGCGTGAATAACTCATAAGAGATTCTAGTGATTTACAAAAAATATTCTTCGAACAATTGACTATAAACGATCGAATAGAACAAATTCAATGAAGGCATACATAAAGTTGCATAGGATCATTGTTTTTTGCTTCAATATGGACATATTATGTGTACGATAGTATTAACGGAAAATACCTTTATAAAACAAAAATTATAAACTTTTCGTAATCAATATACATTCTGAAGCATTCGTAATTTTTAAATAATCTAAAATACTTCAAAACTTGCTGTTCTTATTGTGATTAACAACATGATAAAGGTGAGTACCTAAAAGACAACAAATAAACAGTGATTCATAGCCTATTTTACATTGGTGAGAATAGTAATAAAGAAAACTTGATATAAACCTTCTATCTATATAGGATTTCAGTTTGAATCAATATTTAATAGTTCCATATCGTTCTGTGCATTTTCATGTTCGAGTGTTTTATTCAGTTATCATACTTAACGATGTATGATACTCATGTCTGTACCTTCCAAAAGTCAACAGAGTAACTTAAAAGACTTTAAAAATCAAAGTTTTCAGAAAAAAAGCGTTATTTTTTCTTGCGCGAGGATTCAAAAAGTTTCTGCAATATACTTAAATCTTATTATAAAGTTTATAAACAAAGATGCATGCGAAAGTATCCACTTTGCTCTATCGAACGACCTATAGATTACAAAATAGATAAGTGCGATGAAAATTTACTTTTTCTGAGGGCATGTGCGACCTTAACAAGTCCTAATTAGTTTATATGTTTTGTTTTCTACTATTAATTATCAACCAACCTTGGCGAAAAAGGTGATTTTTCGACTACTTGAAAAAAGTTTATATTATCACTTTCAAAGTAGATATTGACGTGGGTTGATAAACTCTTTGATTCACTATCATTCTATTCTTAACCTTGTAGGACTCAAGAACCTACTTTACAAGACAGCACAGTATTGCATAATCCAGTTAGATGCACATTAAAAAAGTCATATTGTGCCTAGTTGACTTTTTATGTATTCCAGTCCTATGCTGGATATAGATATCGGCTTTCAAGAAAGAAAAATATAGTTAGACAACCGATAATACTTTTTGCTTCGTTGTATTTTGCTAATATAATTTTCTTACTAAGATAAAAAGACATCAAATTGTTAGATAATACATCCGTTACGATATTTCCGAGATAAACAAAGCAGTGGACTACGTTATTGTATCTACTCTATATTCGTCAATAGTGATGTGAAAAATGAAGTGACTCAAATTAATACTCCATGGATCATTGAAATGCTTACCATTCAATAAATTTGGATTCTTCCATTGTTGCGCAGCAATTTTCATTCCATTTTCAACTATAGCCACTGATTCTGGTTTGCTTACACTCTGATACTGTGGTATCAGTGTTTGCAATCGTTGATACATTTCTCGTCCTCGAAGACCGAAGAAACTCCGTCGACGAAATCGCGATCCATCACCTGGTCGATCGTTACCATACTTATTATCATCGTCATCAAATTGTGCATCAGTACCAGTCACTTCATCACTTGTAAAGTCATTTGTCATTGCAGCTGATATAGCTAAAAAGACAGCTTTTGCATGACAGTTGTAGCAAATTCCTGCTTGATTGATTGCATAATTTAAAATTCTGCGCAAGAATCCAGCACGAGGTGTACTGTATAAAGCATTAAATTCTCCTCCGGTAATACATACACCTGAAGCTGCTGGTGCTTGTCCGGAGATACAACAACGTTGTTGTCCACAAATGTCACTGATTAATAATGTTCCTTGACATTTGTCGGCTGATGAGCAGTAACCAATG